TTATGATTTTCTCATAACAAAAAAAAAGGAAAAGTAGAGGTCTATTCCCCCCCCCCCCCCGATATTTTCTGTAAATATCAGTATTTACCATGGCCATCAATATCAAATAGAACACTATTATACCCTTGATTCAAAATAGATTCCATTTTAGTTAAGGACACAATTTTCACATTTCTCATGTTTGTTTGCATATATGTGGGGTTTCATCTATTTCTTTTATTCTCTAGAAACATAAAAAGTATGTTTTTAAAACCAAGACTCCATTTGTCTGGAATTGTATACAAGGGTGGGATTCTACCAGTTTGCACCTATTCTCTAGAACTGGTTGTTAACACTCTAAGCAGTTCAGAGAACCAGTTGTTAGAAGAAATTACTGGCCTAATCCTGTAAAGAAGGCAGAAAGGAAACATTCTGGTGTTGCTTACAGAAACTGCCTCTCTGTTAACTCTTATTACATTCTTGGCAGGACTAGACTTCCTGTCTCAGGAACGTCTCTGGAGTTTTTTTCTCCTCCTTTTCTGGTACTTTGCTTGTGTGGAGGGACCATTCAAAGTTACAATGGCACTGAAAAAAGTGACTTATGACCATTTTTCACACTTACAACTGTTGCAGCATCCCCACAGTCATGAGAGGCCAGGCAAGGAGGTATGTGCCTCGATGTGAGTGATATTGAGTTGGCCATGCCCAGCCAATAACATGACCGCCAAGCCACACCCACCAACTTAGCCATGCCCACAGAACCGGTTGTTAAAAAATTTGAATCCCACCCCTGATTGTATAGGGTCTCTTGCTTGAACAAGGGTTGGACTAGATGATCTCCAATATTCCTTCCAACTCTGTTATTCTATATTCTGAAACAGGAAAAATTGTGTCCTGTCCAATTACTATAACTATATGATTTTACTAGAAAGCTTTTTCAGTCAGAGAGGTTTTTTCCCATTCATTTTCATCCCTATAAAAGGGACATGGTGGCTCAGTGGCTAAGACACTGAGTTTGTCGATCAGAAAGGTTGACAGTTTGGCAGTTCAAATCCCTAACCCTGCATAATGGAGTGAGCTCCCTTTACTTGTCCCAGCTTATGCCAATCTAGCAGTTCGAAAGCATGTAAAAAAGTAGAAAAATAGGGACCACCTTGGTAGGAATGTACCAGCATTCCATGTGTCGTTGGCATTTAGTCATGCCAGCCACATGACCACAGAATTGTTATCAGACAGTGCTGGCTCTTCAGCTTAGAAACGGAGATGAGCACTAGAGTTGGGAACAACTAGCATATATGTACCAGGGGAACCTTTACCTTCATACCTTCATCTTCCATCAGTTTTAAAAAGAGATATGGCTTCTTGTAATTTTTCAGGGTTGTTTAGGGCAACAGAAAAAAAGATCTGGGATCTACCCATTTCAAACGATATCTGTCTTGTTTTACATTAACAGATGAAAGCCAATATCAGTCAATCCAGAAGTCAGTTCTGAATCAAGGACATATAAGAATCCAAAACCATATTGAAATCCAATGGAAAGAAAATGGGCAACAAGACAAGTTTTTTTTTAAAAAAAGCCATAGAATAATAGAATTGGAAGGGATCTTGGAAGTTCTTCTAATCCAACCCCCTGGTCTATACCATTTCAGATAAATGTTGTCCAGTCTATTTTTGAAAGCCTCCATTGATGAAGAACTCACAACTTTTGAAGGCAAGCCATTTCATTTCAATTCCTTACATTGTACAGTATGCTCATCTCAAGCACCATCACATCCATCCTATGCAAGCTGTTATTCATTTGGATTAATCAGGCAAAGAAGCTATACAAGAGTGGGGAATGTTAGGGATAACATTGTTTACCCTAACTGGTTTGGGTAAAAAT